GTCGACGGATGGTCGTGAGTCTGGCATCAAGGAATTGGTCCTTGGGTGCATCGTTGCCTGGAACAAATAGGCGTTGACGTGGTTCAACATGGATGCGGTAGTAGTCCGTCGGTGTGGCTGCTGGGTCTGCTATTGCCGGTGTGGTGCTTGTTCCCTCAACTTGGGTGGTGTGTTCTTGTGCTGGTTCAGGATCTTCTTCATCTTCGGTGAGAACTTCAGAGCGTTTGCGCTTGTTGGAGCGCTGGAGGTCGAAGTACAGCGTGGTGCTGCGACCGCGAACTGAGTCAAGGGCGGCCTTGGCTCGTTGGATCGGGTCTGTGGTGTCACTGTGGTTGAGGTCTGGTCGGAGGTGCTCCCCCAAGACTCTCAGCAAGGTGGTGCCGTGCGTGATCCAGTAGGTGTTGGTGCTGGGGCCTGTTCGACCGGGTTCGGTCATGATCACGGTGGCGGGTCCCTTCCACCTGATCTTTGGCCCTGCTCCCCCTGGTGCGTCCCTCCAGTAGTATACCCTTTGGCCTGCGGTGTAGGTATACTGGATGGCGTGGTGCTGCCGAAGGAGTGCTCTCCTGAGTCGGGAGTCGTTGTCGGCCTCCATCACTGCTATGGCTGCTTGCTTCTGTGAAGCTTTTGCTGCATAGCTTCACTGGGCGTGAGCTGTGCTGTGGTGAGGTCGTGATCCATGAGGACTCCGGGCATGCGGGGTTGAACTCCCATTGCCCATTGGGTAGCACTGTAGCCTTGGACGTTGGGGCTGTTGTTGATCTGCGGGATCACATAGCAGATTGCTCGGGCCAGCTGTTCGGACACTGGTTTGTCTGGCTGCGGCCCTTGTGCTAGGAAAAGTTCAAGTCCACGTCGTAGGACCTGATGGCGTCGTTCGATGACGCTGAGGCGGGTGTGCGCCCCTGGGGATATCTCCAGCTGGATGCCATGATCACTGGCCCATGTCCTCAACCTCTCTGAGGCCCAGCCGCGGTGGTCGTCGATCTGCAAGATGGCTGGCGGTCCAAAGAAGCGAATCCAGCTTCTCTCAAAGGCCGTCATGAGGTCATCGGACTGTTCCCTGGGGATGACTCTGGCTGTCATGAACTTTGTAGTGGCATCAACGATGGAGAGAATCGGGACAGGATGTGGCTTTTTGCCGTCCTGCTGGACGCTGGTGGGTGGATGAATCCACACGGTGTCTGCCTGTACTCGTGCATTGAAGCTGCCGCCAGTGCGCAAACTGCTTTTTTGGCACTTGTGGTGGTGGACGGTGTGCATCACATAGTGTGCATGTATGCTGCTGTGCTGCAATGATGGATGCACTTGCGTTCCTCTGTTTGAGGATTCGAGCCAACTCCAAGTTGGTAGGATGGCCCAAGTTGCGGTGTAGTCGCTGCACTGTTCGTTGTGCTGCTGCAAAGTGCTGTTCCTGAAGTCGGGTCAGGATGCCTTTGTTGTTCGTGAAGTGCTCATCTGCTTCTGCTGAGGCTTGTGGTTCATCGTATGGCTCATCGTCTGCCGCTTGTGGTTCGGGTGGTGAATCTGGAGTGTCTTGGTGATGTGCTGATTCAGGTTCATAGTTGGGCCAGTAGTGTTCCTGGAGGTAGTAGTGGAGAATGTCGGCACATGCCTGACACATCTGTGGGTGGTAGCTGCCTGTGGCTTTTGCTCGACTGCCGATGCTTGGTGAGCTGCCTTCGATGGGCAAGTGGTAGTGCTCATCTTGGCATGTGCGCCCAAGGAGTTGTGCCAATGTTTCTGAGGTGACTCTCAGGGTGGTTGGCTTGCGGATGTACTGCTCAATGCCGTCATGGTCCGGAAGTGTTGCTCCATATTGGCATTGGTCGATGTGGGCGTCATGTCCCTCTAGCTGTTGTAGTGTGTCGGTGTTCCAGGATTCTGCGTACCTGGGATGCTCGAAGAGTGAAAGTCGTCGTTGTTTGTGTTGTTTGTTGTGTAGGTTCTTGCTGAATCGGAGGTGGGTTCCCTCCTCGTGCTGCTGTTGTGCTTCCAGTCGGTCTTGATCAGCCTGACTACGGATGTTCAGGCGTTGGATGGGTGACCACTTTGTGCAAGGTGGTGCAAGCCAGATCACGTCCGGCGAGGTGAGGTAGTAGAGCTTGATCAGCTCTCGCTGGTGCTTGGGGTTCGTGAAGTCCCAACCGCTGCGGATGTCAAAGGTGCGCACGACATAGCCTTTGGCCTGCATGGCTGAGGCCAGGTTGGCGTTTCCTGCATAGATCTCCCAGAACTGCATGCGATGTTCCGCATGTGCTTGGAGTGCGGCCTCAATGGTGGCCTCGTGCTGTTGGGCTAGGTGTTGTTGGTGCGCACGGAAACTCCGGACAAGTTTGTCCGTGAGTGCACGTCGGTGCAGGGTGTCATCATCGTCTTCATCCATGTCCTCAGGATCGGAGGTGCTGTTGTCGTCTGTGTTGTTGTCATCATCTTGTGTGTTCATGGCCTGTTCGTGTGTGAGCTGTGGTGGCTCAAGGCCTGTGAGCTCGAGGTAGTGCCACAGCCCATGATGATGGCCTGCCATGAACCATCTCGTACTTTCATCGTGTCTTCCATGAAGTTGAGCTGGATGCCAATCGCCTTCAAGATCGGGCGACCGATCAGCAGCGGTGTGCTGCCTGGGACGATGAAGGTCTGTGCTCGACCCAGGAGGCCATTGACGAATCTAAGGATCGATCACCGCCGAACTGGAGTGTCTTCACTGTCGGGCGGAACTGGAAATCATCTGGTCCATTATGTGGAACTGGCTGAAGTGCTCGATGTACTGCATAAGGTTGTCATGGCCTACCACCATACAACTTGCACCGCCATCAATGGTGCCATGGATGCCGTTTGGCATGCTTGAGGCGTCCTTCATTGCGAAGTTCACCATGAGGGCGTTGTGATCACCCTTGGACTTCTTCGAAGTGGGTGATGCGCTGTTGCTTGGAGTGGTACGCTTCTGCGGGCACTGGGCTGCGAAATGGCCTGGCTGTCCACACCGGAGACAGGTGTTCTTGTTGAACGAATTGGAGGATAGGGCGGCCTTGCCCCGAGACTTGGCGTCACCTTTCTGAGGTGGTGACCTGGAGGTGCTTTTGCCTTTGGAGCCCTTGGATCCTTTCCCCTTTGGAGGATAGGGGCGTTGGGATTGGGCTGAGCTGGATGGACTGGGGTCTGCTAAGGCCACAACTGGATAGTAGCCACGGTTGGTCTTGTGCTCCGGCGGGCATCAAGGTATGATGCATATGCCTCTTCCCATTCGGGGTCATCAACATCAGGCATATCGTCCTCCTGATGGAGAACTTCTTCCAGCTCGTCCTCCTCATAGTTGACCTCTTCAGGATCCTCCGGCCAATCACCAAAATAGGCGTCAGCCTCATCAACTTCGTAGAACTCTTCGTAGCCCTGGAGGTCGGGATCATCATCGTTGGCGGCGTATGCCGATTGGGAGCCCTTCTTCTGCCACTTGTGGGCATGTTTTCCAGCTGAGCGAGGTGCATTGTAGGGCTTGCCACGATGGTCATAGGTGGAGCGGCCACGAAAATCTTGGCCAAACAAAAAGTACATAGCTTCTTCAACTTTTGTTTCCTCCAAGGTTGCTCCACACTGTGATTGTACCAATTGCTTCTGCTCCTGAGACAACCCACTCCTCCGAAGGAGGAGCCAACCAGTCACTTCCGCCGGCAGGGAGATGTTGTGTTTCTGGACCTCCCGCAGTGCTTCACGATGATCAGCGCAATACGACATCAATGTCTGATCCGGCCTTCTTGAGAGGCTATAGAAAAACTTCTCGAAGGCCCTTGGTTGCTCAACACGGTCATCGTATTTGAACGTCCTGTCCAAACTGCTATCAACTTTGAGAAACCTTCCTTGTCCTCACTCAATGCGTCAGCTTGGGGTTCCAACTGCTTCCATGCTGTGCCGGTCATGGTGGTGAGGATATTGATGATTCCTTCAACAGGTTTCTTCTGCAGTTGCATCTTCTTGTAGTACAGGTGGATGCGAGCCCTCCACTCTCTGTAGTCCTGAGGCCGATTGCTAAAGGTCGGCACCCATGAGTCCTTTGTGGTGTCACCAGCCGTGCTCGAAGTCGAAGCCATCTGCACAACGTGTAGCAATGCTCAATGTACGACGATCAACGATCAAGGCGCAATGTCCAATGCTCAATGTCAGCTTGCTCAATGAACAATGTACAATGTGCAACAAGCAAAGGCCAGCGTGCAACGTACAGGGTGCAAGAGCAATGTACCAACGTTCAACTCCAACCAACTTTCAAATCAACAACCAACTGTCGACTGGCAGCACGGTAGGGAGCCCCTGGTCGGGGCTCCGCTACCAATTTGAAGGTAGCAACAACTGCAACCAATCCAAGAACAACCTCGCGAAGTGTCGCTCTCTCGAAAACGGGCAGCGCGAAGCTTTTCACGCCAACGTAGTCATGGCTCTTAGGTGCTCAAGCTGTCCCTCCCATCTTAGGAGGTCGCGAGTGACGGTGGCAAAAGGGTTCGTGCCCAAGCAGCGGACGTTCCTTAGTCAACCTCAGTCCATGTCATGGAGTGACATTCACATAATAAATATATATATATATTCCTTTTTGTGTGTGCAGCTCTCGTCCACTATAGGAGGCTCAATAAGTATACTATATACAGTATTAGCAATTGCTTAGCCATTCCAAGGGGCATCCTTTGTTAATGGCCTTCATGGTCCTGCGCCTCTATAGTCAAAACTGTGTCTTGGTATAAGGAAATCTTGGAGTGAAACATGGTTTAAGGCAGGACAATCCTCCCAACAAACTGAAAGGTAAGACACATTGCCAAAGGGAACGTTTGAACATGATTGAAAACACATGGCACGATCAACGCGAGCAACAAAAAGAACAACCGACTTGAGAAATAAAAACCTATGAGGCTAGAAAACAAAACGTTATAAAACACAGGGCCCACGGCGGCCGCGCACGCGCGACTTCACACAAATGGACAAGCCCCTGGTACCCCACTACGCATGAAAGGGCTGAGGGCTTGAAGGTGCGGAACCTGTGCGCAAGTTGGTTTCGGCCAAGAGCTTTGCAGTTCGCAGCGGCAGCGGTTCGCATGCTTCTATTTTTTGCACTAGGTTTGGCGCTGCAGTAATGGACTGTTCCATGCGAGGTTTCGAAGCCAGCATCACTGGCGGTTGCTGTACCAAGGCGCTTCCTAAAATCCTAAAAGCAAACCTCGATGCCCTCTTCAATCAACTACTCATTGCCGCCAAAAAACACGCCAGATTCCAAGCATTGGTACCCTATTCTTCAAGCCGCCTGCCTTCCAAATGACAAATGATAGGTTCACCATTCCAACGCCAAATTTTAAAAGCATGTCCAATGTCGTTCAACCTCCTTCTGTCCGCAAAGGTCTGCAGGGCAGGTTGCACGAGCTCCCCAGACCAGATGCTTCAGCAGCTTCAGCATTCCAGACTTCCCCCTGCAACCCAGCAAAATCGCAAACGATGTGTCCCAGGCATGGGCAAAAGCCAAGCTTTGGCAACCCAATTATCGAGAAAGGCTTCCAGTGCCGAAACAAAATTGCGGGGGTTCAATAGGTTCCCTGCAGTTGAACTTATCAAGAAATACACCACAGCACGCATGAAAGTTCAGCCAAGCACGCGGTGCAGCTTGAGTGCTGCTAAACCCGTCAAATTAGACTCTGACAGGCATAGGAATGCATTTCACTGCGTGTTTTCCAACATCTATGGCTGCGGATCATTGCCCTGCTGGCAGGAGCACATGTTATTCTGGAAACCCAATCGGGTTCATGACATATAGCCATATAGCAAAATATATCAAGAAACGCACGTGCAACATTCCAACGCCTGCATAGTCCAGTCCAAGAGCCATAGAGTTCTAGATGCTCGGCGCAAAGCAATTGCCGACTTGCAACTTGTAACCCCCTGACTTGCTTTATGTGGCTACTTTCGATTATTATCTAACACATTGTTTGAAATGTTTCTCTCTCTCTCTCTCTTTCTCTGTGTGCATCGGTGAAAAAATACAATATTCATCGTTTGTCAGCCAAACGCGCTTATATAATTCCCTGCGTTGATTACTCCCAGAGGCTCTGAATGGCAATGCCTGCGGTTCATCAGGTAGAAGTCAGTCCTTGGCAACTACCGGAAGCGTCGCCGAAAAACCAGCAAAACAGGCATGGCAAAACTATTGCGCAGTCACGTTGCATCTTGGACTTGCTTCACCACTACTGAGAGCCGAGCGGCCCAACCCCCCCAGCATTCCTCATCTTTGCACACTGACTTCACCACCTCAAACATTTCAAAAAAGACGCAGCAACTCATGTTCACACAGCTTTCCAGAACGCATGAGTTTTGGAAACGCATTTATTGGATCTCAGATTTTGAACTATTTGTGTGGCCAGCCCAGTGATGGGTGGGTGAACACAAGTGATGCCGAGTCATGTGCAGGCTTTGAACATTTCCAACAAAAGTTGCCTGCCAGCCAAAAAATGCCAGCGTGGCATCTGCGATGTCAGGAAGTGGGATGCTGGATAGACGAACCTGCTTGTCATGGTGAATGTGGAAACCAAGTTGACTGCCCTCCTACGATTCTGGATGATTGTGCGCAGGTTGCCATCAAGTGTGTCTGCGTGAGATTGGTGACGTTTAAGACGCATTGTTGGTCGAGGACTTTTGACTAGCACTTGGTAGCTGGAAACTGTAAGGTTTGTACTTGATCTTACACCCAGGCCCTGGTTGAAACCCTTTCCGTTTTGACTCTGGAGCCTTCCGACTCTTGGAGCCAAACTCTGATCTCAACTTTGCGCACCCCCTCAGGCCGGCTTTTGTTTTTGGAAAAACTTGGATGCTGTGGGTGTTCCTATTTTTCTGGGGCCGTGGAGCATAAACTACGGTGGGAAAAAGGTGACCGTGCTTCCAAGACTGGCAGTTCTGAAAACCACATCGTGCTGAATATTGGGCGGGTGGAAACTGAGGCCGTGGCCTTCGCATAAGTCATGGCAGAGCTGTCACCAGCTGGTGATTCTTGTAAGCATTTAGATCCTAACTGGCACCAGCCGTTGCGATAGAGCGTGACAAAGGCGCAGTTGTGAGCGCGCGTGCATCGCGATACACACTCTCCGGGTTCAAAAAGACCTGGCGAGCAGTTTGGGTTCGAACCCAATCCAACAAACAGTCGGATGGAACAGCTGTGAACTTCACACCGGCCTTCCACTAAGAAGGGGACTTTGCCGCCATTGTTGCAAAAGTTTCCTGTGGAATAAGGATGGTAATCCTCAGCCATAAAGGCAACAAGCACCGACAAATTCCACAAAATATTACATACAGTATGTCGTCCTGAAAGTATTCTACATGCAGTACACCATTACGACGCCATACCAGCACACCAGCATGTCCCAGCATGACGCCACACCGCCATGACATATCAGCATGCCTGGGCTCTACTGCTGAGAGGCTCGTGCAGGAATCCCAGGACCTGCCCCAGAACTTGCCCCGAAGCTGGTTCGGAAACTGTCAACTATGGAAAAAATCCGTGCCGGTTTTCCGCGGTGCAACTCGGGCCACTTCGTTGGCCATGTGAAAAGGTATGAGTGAAGCGAACTCTTTAACACTCCGCCTACAAAGTTCAAACTTCACCTGTCTCGTGGTACCGTGCCTACGTGCTCCTCCCAAGTCATGTCATCTGTTTCCCACTGGCCGCTGCAAACAATCACCGCAACATGCTCGAAGTCTCGCCTCTCATCTGAGGTCCGCGCTCTGCCGCCAATCTTGTCCTCAAGAACTCCTTCCAGGAGCTGGTCTCCAAATCCCACCAGTCGGCATCACGTGGGTCTGGCTCTTGTTGATCTCCTTCATGATCCACTTCCATTGCACGTGGGCCATAGTTCAAGTTCTCATCATCAATCTCTGAAGCTGTGGGTCGGTACCTTCGTCGAAGGGTTCCTCCAGGGCTCTCCATGAAGTACCCTTCGCCACTTGCTGCGGTCGGATCTTGTCAACACCCGATAGTCCTGCGTCGCTCCAAGTTCTGGATTCCAATCAGTGACCCAGACACCAGGTGGTCTCTCTTCTGAACCTGGGTCCTCTGAGACGTTCTCGCTCTCTTGCTCGTCCACAAGCATGTCGCCACTTCTGTCTGGTCTGCGTTCCACGATGTAATCATCTCTCAACTGGACATTAAACACCCTCTCTGGCGGTCTCTCAGCCATCTGCAAAGGTTCTGGTAGTGGTGGAACCAAGTTGCCATTCTCCACCGGCACCGCCATCTTGCGTTGATCTCAACAACATGCCTCTGTAGCTTTTAAACTCCTCCAAGGCTTGTTGGTGATCTCGTTCACGTTGAAATTCCATTGTCCTTTCTTGTCGCAAGAACCGTGCCAAAATCCTGAAGAAGATGCCAATCCTTTTCCTGCAGACATAGCCACAAACCATTCTCAAACCAAAAATGACAATGCGGTAGATGAGGAAAGGGAAATAGTATCCCCATCCAGCGCTCGTGTACTTCTCATCCTCCTGCTTGTAGTGTTGATTCCCGGTGCTGCCAAACGCTCCTGGCTGCAAAAAGAGCAGCGTCACCAATTTCACCATTCCTGTTGGAATCTTTGTTGTAGCACCTTCAATGCCCTCGATAACGGTGTTCACCATCTTTCTTTTCGCACCCTTCTTCATTTGCCTTGTCATCATCTTCTTGGCAATCTCATGGTGATAGGCTTCCTCACCAGCCCTGGAGAAAGTTTCGCCCTTTCCTTCAGCACCCATCTCCACAATGCCGAATAAGTACATCAGGAATTCTCCCCTGACTTTGCTCAATCTCTCCGTGCCCATGTCCGACACGTTCCACATCGTGGGGATGCCCTCCATGACCAAGATTTCTTTCTTCACCTCACACCTTGCGTCTATGTGTTTGAGGGAGGCGTCCAACCCCAAGTCTCTCTATCGCTGATAGCTTTGATCATCACTGACCTCTTTCTCAGGAAGTTCCAGAAGTCCTTCACTTCAGCACCGCCACCAGCGGACCAGCAGCAGCCAAAAACTCAGCCTCGCAGGGCCTCAAGGCAATGCTTCGTTGTGATCTGGACCAGCTTGCAATCAGGCACCCATTCAAAAACATGAACGTAGAGCTCACGCTGTGCCTTCTCCTCTTTGTCGATGATGGATCACCGGCCCAATCACTGTCACTGAAGCTCTCCAGGAAGTCTGGTCCATGCAAGTCTTCTGTCTCGCCAAGGATCTCTGCCTTCTTGCTGCGACACTTTTGGTGTGGCGTCACCTCTGCCTCCGCCAGCTTTGCTGGCTTTGCCACGAACTGGCTCAAATTGCGAACGCTGTGCTGAAAAACCCACTCTATCTTGGCTGATGTAAAGCGTTCCGAAGGCTGATCAAAACCGGCTCCTACAGGACAGTCTTCTGGCGGTCCTTCAAGGCTCATCTGAGTGCTTTCTGGTGAAGCACGACCAACACTGTGTAGAGTTCGATCAAGCTTGGAATGTACTTCTCATGAGGCATGATCACAATTCCTTCTGAGGTAAGTAGCGCCTCTTCTTCAAGCATGGAATGGCCTCATCCTCTGGTTGATCATCTCGTGGAAGAATCTCAGGCTCACTGAGCACAAATTTGCCCCGCATAGATTCCAAAAGCCACTCTAAACCACCAAGTACACCAGCCACGATCAAATCGTCAACATGACAAACTGCTGCAAGCGCTGTGAACCTTGGAATGCACTGTGGAAAGCACGGAGCGCTGATCTTAACATCTAGGTCTAGGTCTTATGTCAAATGGCAAAAGCCTGGTGGCCCTTAGCATCCAACCTCGGGTGGCCCACAGAAAATGTGCTATGTTGGAATGGTCCCTTTCCTTCTTTGAATGTTACCTTGGCAGTGCTTTGTAAACCTCGCTGATCTAAGCATTCCAGTCTTTTGCGAGATGGCCAAGGCCTGGTGGCCCTTAGCATCCGCCGTTATGGTGTTGCGGTGGGAAGGGGTACCTATGATACTTGAAGTGGCAACAACCAACCCCAAAAAGCAACACCAACTCCAATCACCAAATGCAAATCATCTTCATGTGTTTTGCCTACCCAAATGCCTGGAACCCATTGAGGTCCTTGCTTCATCCCTTCCTGCCGATGGAGTAGAAGAACATATTCTCCAAGGCAAACCACCTTGCCAATGTATCGTCGGCCATACGCGAGCTCGAAAGGAGTTGAGCTCAAAGCACTGTGCACTCCAAACCTGTTGAGAATCCAGGCAGTGTGCAAATACTCCCAGTACCATAGCGCATGGCTCCCATCTAAATGCAGCAAACAGTGGGAATCATTTTCGAAACGTTGCAATTGCTCTCTCGACTCGACTTGTCTGGCCTTTCTTCATCTTGTTAGTGATAGTGGTCTCAAGGCCCAAGCTGTGCCTAATCTGCAGATGAAGTTGATCAACGATGGTAAGGACCTATGCCATGGTTTGACAACAACGAGATCTTGGTGGTGAATGGCTTTGAGCTAACAGAAAGGAGCTCTTTGACCAGTCCTCGTGAAGAAGCCGAGTTCCTTGCTTGGCCTTGGGCGTGAAGGTCATAAGGTGGAACCACGAGATATGTCCATTGCTGCCAACCGCCTCTTCAAAGAACAGAATCGGCATAAAGGACTTGTGGCTGTTCGTGCACCAAGGCAACCTTCCCAAGAAGAAAGAGAGCTTCGCGGACTCACTCGTATTCCTGCCTTATCGTGATTGGTGTGACCTTTGTGTGGCTTGCAAAGGAAAGAGCAATCCTCAAAGGCTTTTGGTCAGAAGAAGGACGAAGAAGTGCGCCCCAGCAATCCTGTTGGACAATGCCTCTGGCAGATCAGAGACAGGGCCAGGCGGGCCCTGTGGTGATTTTGGTGGGCGTTGACGCTGAAACCAGAACGCTGTTGTCAGTCAGTGCCAGTCGACTCAAAGGGTGCTGACTTAAGCTGAACATGTGGTTCGCTTTACGTTGTGCCTCAACCACTACGGGAATGTGGAGATCATTGGTGACGGCGAGCTCACTATGAAGACCTTGTTGACCTACGTGAAGTCGATCTTTCTTCCTGTCCATCTTCTCAAGCGCTGAGGCGGATGCCGCATGCCTTTGCTATCATCTGAGCCATCATCTGGGCAGCTTGCGCAGCATCGATCGAATTGGCACCAACCCAGCTGTCGAGGAAGATCAAGGCTTTCAAGCGTAGCCGAAACTCAAATCCTGGATCATCCAAAGGCTTGCCCCAAGCACGAAGGACCATCAAAATTCTCCATGGCATTCTCAATGAAGAAGGTTCAAGTGTAGTTCCCAAAGGCTAATTCCATGGATGCCGCGTAGTTGAAGTTTCCCTTCCCCATGTCCATGCAGAGCCTCCTCCATGTCCATGTTGAAGCTCAAGCCAACAGTCCGGGCGCCAATCCCCGACTTGTCGACATTGGCCAAAACCTCCGAGGTCAAGACCAGCAAGTCCGGGTTCCAATCCCCGACTTGGGCTGAGCTGGACACATCCTCCATGTAGCTAGCTTTTCTCTCGTCAGGCTCCATCTTGATGGCCTTCCTGACTCCCATCCAGTCCTGGCTGTAGTTGCCATCATCCTGGCTGGCGCCGATCCACCTCTCGCCATTCATCACTGCGTCCGCAAGGCACCAATCCTCTATGGGTTTAAAGTCCTTGGTCACCGCCACCGCCTCCGCGCTCTTCACCCCCACGGAGTCGAGGCCCACGTCCTCCTGCAAGTCCATGATGTAGTCCTGAGGCTCAACACGTAGGCCGCTCATCAACCAAAGAAGCACCAAGCCATCATCCGGCACGGCGTCATCAGGCCACGTGGAGCAAAAGCTGGAGCCAGCGCTTTGGCCTGCTCCGCTACCATGTCAAACATGGAAAAGGTCCGCGCCTGGTTTTAGTCTTCCGCTGTGCAACTCGGGACACTTCGTTGGCCATGTGAAAAGGTATGAGTGAAGTGAACAAGCTCCGGAACTTCCTCCGGAACGTGCTCTGGAACTTGCATGGGCCCTCCGTGGAGATGGGGGCCCAGAAAAGAAACTTCGTGCAGCAGGCCCTCAAGAAAATGGTCACATCATTCACCGCGCCAATCTGCACAGGCGGACAGAGGGCAAAGGACAGGGACAAAGAGCCAGCCAGCCAAACAAACAGAGAAGACGCAACAAGGAACCACAACATTCTTTTTGAACAGGGACGCAGCCCACTGGCAGAAACTCGAAGGGGATCAGTCGGCGCCTGTGACAGCCGGCGACCGGACCCCGCCGCCACCAGAGACATGGAGGATGGAGATTTAACAGCTAGACGACAGGGTGGCCCGAAAGCGCAGCAGGAGATGACAGAAGGTAACAGTGGGGACGAGGACTGTAACGAAGATGATGGTGATGACGACGACTGTGGCGGTGATGATGATGATGATGATGATGATAAGCACCAATGGCGCCGATTAAATACCAAGCCTCCTGCTCACCGCCAACCATCCGACCCCGCAGCAACACTCCACGTTTACACCAGCGTGTGTCCCGAGGCCGCGCGAAACCCCGCGACATCGCAAACGAAATTTCCCCGCAGTGTGCCACAGACCAAACAACAATGTAACACCAGCCTCGTGCGCACCTGCAATCGCCAGCGACACGCCACGTTTACGTTTACATCAGCATGCTTTCCTTCCCCCAATGGCACGACCACAAACAAACACGCTTTCCACCGAGGCCGCGCAAAACCACAGGGCACAGCGACATCACAATCGGGATTTTGCCACACGGTGTGCCACAGACTATACACAACAACGCAACACCAAGCCTCGTTAGCGCCGCTAATCAACCCGCTCCCCAACAACCTCCCATTTGCGTGGACTCACGCAAACGCGCTACCCACCGAGGCCGCGCCAACCCGCGTGGGGCAGCGACGCTCGCCACACGGTGTGCCACAGACTAGATACAACAACGTAGCACCAGTCTTACATCAGAACGCTCATGCAACGCTTGTTTGACTGCATCCCTTCGCGCAAGCTCGTTTTCAGTGCAAGCAGTCAGGGGTGAGAGCTGAGCTGTGTTTTCACGACCCCAGAATCCGCCCCAAGGATTGGGAGCTTTGGTTTCCGCTTTGTTCAGGCAGAACTTTAAATTAGCCCCAAAGGTGCACAAGGCGCTGCTAACTTCCATGGAGAAAGCAGATTTGTTATCCAACGCAGGCGGCAAAATCACCGATTTCCGCGCGCGATGAAAGTAAGGTCTCCTCGCAGTCGGACTTGCTTGCTCTGAATTGCGCCAGATCCGGCCATTGCACGACTGTGAAAGTTTAAAGCTTCACAAGATTGGCAGTTGCAGATGCAGGGTGGGGAATGAGCGACAGATCGATTTGGGCATCGAAGGGTTCCCACCCACCCGTGAGACGTGAAAAATGCGAAGCAGAAGAAGGAAGGGGGATGTTCTGACCCCGTTTGGCACGGGGCTCCAAAACCGGAACTTCAAAACCGGAATTCTGTCGTGAAACGTCTGGGCTTGGAGCGGCGCGCAATCTATTCACAGCGCCCCAAAGCCGAATTCCATCCTGGAACCCTGGGCGCTGTCCTTGCGCGCTCAAGGAAAACAAAAAAACACATACACAAATCGCGTCTACAGATCTCGTGAGAATGACTGTGGCGGCAGTGCTTAGTGTCCCACCTTGAGCGCGCCAGGTGCGTGGGGAGATCACAGTGCCCCCACACGGTGAAGCGCCCCAACCAACAAGCTTGACGACGAAGAGGCCAAAGCGACGAAGGAAAAGGTCGGGGCAAGGGTGGTGGCAAACGCCGCCGTCCATGTTGACCCGACAACGAAAAGCCAAGGGCGCCGCGAACCTGGACTGGGGAACAGTCGTTTCGGAGGCCGAAGCTGCGCGGCCTAAAGCCAACATTACCGGCAGGCACCCTGGGAGCCCCCAGAGAAATCTCCGTGAGTTTGGTCGCTAACGGCCCAAGACTTTTGTGGGCAGCGCATCTGGCAGCGGCGCCGAACCAGCGCCCAAGCTTCAAAAGCGCACGCCACACATCTGGCACCGGCGCCCGGCGGCGGCACCAGCACCCAAGTAGCGGCACCAGAACCCAAGCGCCAAAACGCATAGAGGCACCTTCTTGTACTTGGAGTAAGAACCGCAATAGCGAAAGACTGTTGCATCTTTATGCAACGAAGGGAACCGTCTTATAGAATGCTCACGCAATAGTACTTGTTTGACTGTAACTTCATTGCGCAAGCTCCCTTTCTCTGTGAGCAGTCACGGGTCGGGGTGAGAGCCGCAAAGGTTGGGTTATGTTTTTCACGACCCGAGAAGTGAGACTTCGCTGGCGTAAAAGATGACTTGCGTTGCTTGAGGTTTTATACGACCGCAAGATAGCAACCACTTTGTTACACCAACAGGTGGACGAAGCCGCCTGCAGGGAGGGAGGACGGTGCCAAGCCCACCGGCCATGCACCAGACGGCGCACATGCGTGTGTTGTAGCAGGTTCATCACCTGCATCTGTGCACCTGTATGAGGGCGATGATGATGATGATGATGATGATGCTGATGATGATGATGTCGATGACGATGAAGATGTTGTAGGTGCGTTGGGTGCGTTGGAGTAGTCACATCAGTCGCCTGCACCACCTTGAATATGATGACGACGACAATGATGATGATCAGTGACCATCTTGATGACGATTATGACCCCGGTGTATGTCATCGTGACGACGGCGATGATTGTGACGTGTTGAAGACGATGGTAGTTAGACAGTGGATCTTGGCAGCCATTCTTTACGGAGAACCTTTCGCAGATGCTTTCGGGAAAATATCACGCAAAAAGTGTGGCGCTGAATCGCAATGGTGCTAAACCCCGCGCAAAATATCAATCAAATTGTCTGGCTTCACCCGTGACGGGTGGCAAGTCTTCTTAGGCGCTTGCGATATTCGCTTCGTCCGCAAAGAGCCTGGAGGCATCCCAGCCCATTGCCAGAGGTAGCCCGATGGTTCCACCTAGCTCAAAGAAGCATGGATCATGGATAATGAAAGCTTAGAACAGTTTCGAAGCGCGAATTCTATTCTCAAGGCGAAAAGAGGGCAAACCTTGTTGTTGTTCAAGGTTGTACTAGTCAGTTTCTAGTGTACTGGGCTACCCCGCTTGTAGAACAACATCTTTGCATTTGAGCGCGTCGAGTTGACCCGGTTGAACAGGGTGTCCATTTGACCCAGCTGACTTTGTGTGATGGCAACTACGTCAACTGGGACCATCGGTTCGGGCGGCGCCACTGCGTCAAAACTAGTTGAAGTGGATCAACTGGGCTCGAATGGGGCGAGTAGATCACAAGAGGGTCAACTGGGTTGAGCGCAAGTTGTTTATATCCCTGTCTTCTTTTTATCACTGGTGGCAACTTACAAATCCGCTTACATGCTGAGCTTGCGAGCAGTTTGCGGGACACAGGTTTTGAACCAGTAGCTCAAGGACATTCCTTCAATATCTTAGCTTGCATCCTTTCCTGCGTCGAATAAATAGGGTCCTGCTCCAGATTTCTAACCTATCATCCAGAGTAGATGTTGTGAGCTTGATGTCGTCTGTGCACAGGCAAGTGGGGCAAGTGGGACACATGGCATGAGCGGATCAAGTTGGAAGGTGGTGCAGCGAGGGTGGCAGGTGTTGGGGTGTGCAGGGTAGAGAGAGAGAGAGAAGGCTTAGAAGTCCGTATCTTCTATGGACGCGCAGACGATACAGACATTTGGGCGCAAGTAAGTCAAACGGAGATAGGACAGGCCCAGCGGCGCACTTGAGGCAAGTGGCAAGCGGGCAACAGAAAGTTTCTAAAGCCGTCTC